TTTTGCAGTGGGCGCGTTGAGCCAGTACTCGGCTAACCCAGGTGAAGTACACAAAAAGGCTATCAATCGACTCTTACAATATCTCAATACTACGCGAGACTACAAACTGATTTATGATGGTAATTCACTAGAATGCAACAATCACAGATATTCCGATTCAGATTGGGCTGGGGATTCTCGCAACCACCGTTCCATTTCTGGATACGTTTTCAAGATCGCTGGTGGAGCCGTGACTTGGAGTTCCAAGAAGCAACCCTCGACGGCGCTTTCCAGCACCAAGGGTGAATACATGGCCTTCACTCATGCTGCCAAGGAAGCCATTTGGATGCGACAATTCCTAGGCGACCTAGGCCTCAACTTCAACATCCCCACTATCCTTCTAGGAGATAACCAAGGTGCGATGGCATTGGCGATGAACCCGACGTTCCATGCACGTACCAAACACATCCACATTCGTCACCATTTCATTCGCGATTGCATCAACAACGAAGACATTGAACTCGAGTACATTCCTACAGCCGATCAAGTGGCTGATGTCTTTATGAAGGGACTTCCAGAAGCCAAGCACACGAAGTTTGCGATGATGATGGGCGTTAACTCACACTGAGTGGGCGTGTTGGAAATCATTGTGGTTAATGACGATCTATTTACCTTATTAGTTTGTCTGACGCAGTGTTGATGGGATCACTGCTGATACCCTTTTCCGCCTACTCTTTCTGTTCTATGCATTAACCCTTGCCGATGACCATGTGTCGCGATTGCAAGCGATATTAGTACTCGTTGTATAAATGGCGCGGGGCGCTAGGTTTTTTCTTTTCCCTCAGTTCTCAAGTTAGAGACTGAGGTGATATCCCTTTTGTTGTTTTTAACTTTCGTATAACTGACTGTACTCTTCGTGTTATAGTCCATGCGTACAGGTAAAGAGTTACAATGTTATAAGTTCTCAAGTTAGAGACTGAGTCCGTGCATACAGCTCTATTAATCATTTCAACATGTGCACATGCGCCAGCGGCCTTCTGTTCCTCGGTAACACACCAAGCTGTAGGACACACTGCGATGTCATAGCCATGTTCCTGGAGAGCATCACGAAAATCGGACAGGCAACTAGAGCAAAGTCCCCTGGTCCAGAGCACTCCGGAGGCTCCAGAGCACCTGGGAGCATCTGGACCATGTGGGAGCGCCAGTCCGATTTTCGTGATGAGTGCAAAGTGCATAACTTTTGTGTGCACCGTTAACTCGTTGAACAACTGCTATCACTCCTTCATTTTATGTCCGATTCGGTCAAATTTTTGCGTAGTCATAGCCATAGTTATAATATACAAGTGTGCAAAAAAAAAAAAAAAATCCCGGGGTGAAATAAGGATGTTACATGCAAATGAACCATTGAGGGGTGTGAACCATTGGCACGTGGACTGCATATGTATTTTAGTTATTTTTTCTCTCTACATTACATCTGGACTGTGAGTGAAAGCTACTGAAGCGGGTTGCCATATTTGGAACGCCGCATTTACAAGAAAGGGTCTGGCATTTGGGGCAACTGCTGGTTGAGCCTGTTCTGAGCTGTTTCATAAAGGAGCCGTGATGTCTGATGCCGATGGTTGGTCACGAGTGATGGAGAAATTCCGTTTAACTGTTGCAGCCCATTCCCTTTCCTGGGCCTCTCTTTCCGCCTTTTCTCTCTGTTCCAACCGCTCAAGCGTTGCAAGACGATCCCGGATGGCCTCATCCCTTCTACGCTGAGCTTCTTCCGCAGGAGCAAGAACAGAGAACGAGCTGAGTGGTGTAGACATTCCACCAGCGGTCGTGTGTGTTGTCACGGAATCCATGGAGCCTTTTCTGTTGCGCTTTCGTGCACGCATCAGCTTTTTCGGGCGATATGGAATCCGTACGTGCTCATCTGTAGTGGAGTCCTCCTCATCCACAGACGATCCTCCACCTTCACCGTCATAAGACGTGACGTTGCGTCCCTGTTCATTTGAATCGTTTGTTGAAGGCTTAGGTGCTGTATCAAGGCGAACAGGGAGAATTTGCAAAGAAGGGTGTAGCATTCGGGAAGCTGCTGGTTGAGCCTGTTCTGAGCTGTTTCGTATGATGTCTGATACCGATGGCTGCTCGCGAGCGATGGAGCGGTTCTGGTTGACTGATTTCAAGGTTGCCGCCCTTCCCCTTTCCTGGGCCTCTCTTTCCGCCCCCTCCCTCTGTTCCAGCCGCTCAAGCGTTGCAAGACGGTCCCGGATGGCCTCATTCCTTCTACGCTGACCTTCTTCCGCAGGAGCAAGAACAGAGAACGAGCTGAGTGGTGTAGACATTCCACCAGCGGTCGTATGTGTTGTCACAGAATCCACGGAGTGGGGGTTGGGCTTTGGCAGTTTGCTCGGATCCTGGCCTTGGTCAGTAACTGGGCTCCACCAACACTGGCAGTGGGAAAACTAGAACTGACCTGTTCTATGCGACGGACGTTTTCCCAGACAGTTTGTCCCGACGCTTCACTGGGATGATTCGCCTGAGGGTGCATGAATGGTGAGTTCTCTGGAGGACCACGATCAAGTCGCACAGGGAGAATTGGCAAAGAAGGGTGTGGGATTCGGGGCGCTGGTTGAGCCTGTTCTGAGCTGTTTCGTATGCGAGCCGTGATGTCTGATAGCGATGGTTGCTCGCGAGCGATGGAGAGGTTCTGTCTGACTGATTTCAAGGTTGCCGCCCTTTCCCTTTCCTGGGCCTCTCTTTCCGCCTTTTCTCTCTGTTTCAGCCGTTCAAGCGTTGCAAGACGATCCCGGATGGCCTCACCCCTTCTACGCTGAGCTTCTTCCGCAGGAGCAAGAACAGAGAACGAGCTGAGTGGTGTAGACGTTCCACCAGCGGTCGTGTGTGTTGTCATGGAGTGCACGGAGTGGGAGTGAGGCTTTGGCGGTTTGCTCGGATCCTGGCCTTGGTCAGTAACTGGATTCCACCAACCTGGCAGTGGGAGAACTGACCTGTTCTATGCGACGGACATTTTCCCAGACAGTTTGTCCCGACGCTTCACTGGAAAGACTCGCCTGAGGGCGCACGAATGGTGAGTTCTCTGGAGGACCACGATCGAGGCGAACAGGGAGAATTGGCAAAGAAGGGTGTGACATTTGGGGTGCTGCTGGTTGGGCCTGTTCCAAGCTGTTTCGTATGCGGGCCGTGATATCTGATACCGATGGTTGCTCGCGAGCGATGGAGGCGTTCTGTCTGACTGATTTCAAGGTTGCGGCCCCCTCCCTTTCCTGGGCCTCTCTTTCCGCCTTTTCTCTCTGTTCCAGCCGCTCAAGCGTTGCAAGACGATCCCGGATGGCCTCATCCCTTCTACGCTGACCTTCTTCCGCAGGAGCAAGAACAGAGAACGAGCTGGGTGGTGTAGACATTCCACCAGCGGTCGTGTGTGTTGTCACGAAATGCACTTTTCTATTGCGCTTTCGTGCATGCATCAGCTTTTTCGGGCGATATGGAATCCGTACGTGCTCATCTGTACTGGGGTCCTCCTCATCCTCAGACGATCCTCCACCTTCATCGTCATAAGACGTGACGTTGCATCGTTCATTTGAATCGTTTGTTGAAGGCTTCTTAGGTGCTGTATCAAGGCGGACAGGGAGAATTGGCAAAGAAAGGTATGGGATTCGGGGTGCTGCTGGTTGGGCCTGTTCTGAGCTGTTTCGTAGGCGAGCCGTAATGTCTGATACCGATGGTTGCTCGCGAACGATGGAGAGGTTCTGGTTGACTGATTTCAAGGTTGCGGCCCTTTCCCTTTCCTGGGCCTCTCTTTCCGCCTTTTCTCTCTGTTCCAACCGCTCAAGCGTTGCAAGACGATCCCGGATGGCCTCATCCCTTCTACGCTGACCTTCTTCCGCAGGAGCAAGAACAGAGAACGAGCTGGGTGGTGTAGACATTCCACCAGCGGTCGTGTGTGATGTCACGAAATGCACTTTTCTATTGCGCTTTCGTGCATGCATCAGCTTTTTCGGGCGATATGGAATCCGTACGTGCTCGTCTGTAGTGGGGTCCTCCTCATCCTCAGACGATCCACCACCTTCATCGTCATAAGACGTGATGTTGCGTCCCTGTTCATCTGAATCGTTTGCTGAAGGCTTCTTAGGTGCTGTGGCAGCAACAGTTGCGGCTATCGCAGTTTGTGTCAATGCATCGGCTGGAGCAGCCTCAAGACGATCGAGTTCTACGTCTTTTTCCGCCAGCTTACGACGGGCTTCTGCTTCCTTCCGCCTTAACTCCTCTTCGGCTCTTAGACGCTCTTGACGTTCTCTCTCAAGCCGACTCCTAGGCAGCGCGGTCACAAGCTCGGGGGACACTTGTCTCTTCAGATCGCTAGGACCAGGGGAGGGGAACCGCGAAGTACGTGTGGTGCCGGGAGGCCCAAGACGAGATCCAGCCGAGTCACCGTGCTGATCACGGTGAATATGGTTGCGAGCTTGGGAAGACTGTTGAGCAGTATTTGAGGGCGGCTCTACCGTCAGCTCCTTCACTTCCCGGGGTCCAGGTGTTGCCTTTGGCAATAGTAGCTTAGCCTGCTTCTGCATGGGAATTGTATTGTGAGCCTCAGGTGAAAGGGCAACAGGAACTGCTTGTTCATCAACCTTCGTGGTCGTCTCCTTGGATGGCGTCACGGCGTTTGAACTGGCAGGGTCTCCATCCGGCATAAGGAATGGATTCACTGAGCTGTCGGTTGGAGGCAGTGCCAATGGGCGATTTGCTTCAGGGTCAGACACCTCGAGGATTGGGGATGAATCTGGCTCAACGCAGGCATCCACGAGCCATAGGAAAACCTCCCGCATAACTGGGCGCGCGTCAGGAAGACCCACACAACAACTGGATAGTATTTTCTCCACTGGAGAGGATTGCTCCCAGTTCCAAGGCGATAGACCGGATTCTAACGCCCTCCATAGCTGGGTGTCATTGGTGAGCAAAGGGAAGGGATTTTTGCTAAAAAGTATCTGCTCAAGTTTCAGTCAAGTGTAAGGATGTTATAATCGCGAATTACGCGAGCTCACCATGGCACAAGTACAGGCAAAGGAGTAAGTATCACCAGGTCTCGTTTTCTTACCACTCTCCAGAACTTCTGGGGCGCAATAGCGCAACGTAAATCCAGGTGCCGATGATGTAAACCCCGTTGTCAATCCGTCCGCTATCAAAGAGAAGCCAAAGTCGCATAACTTCGCATGCCCAGCATCACTGATTAATACGTTGAACTATACGGCACCAATCAGCCCATTCCAGCTTCGTAGAAACGCATCTTGGCTTACAGGCTTGAGATCGCCATGGACAACAACAGGGTCACGGTCGTGGAGGTAGGTCAGACCTCGGGCGACATCGAGAAGCTATTTTTCCCATGAGGCTATGAGATCAGTGTTACCGTAAGTACCGCTCACCAGGGCCAGCCGATTGCAGGATGGCTCGCAATGCAGATATTCAGCGAGATTTCCATTTGCACACCATTCGGACACTAATACTGCTTCTGGCACTCCACCACGATCTTCAATCGCAAATCCAATGAATCTCACGATATTTCCGTGGTCTAAATCCTTCCATATCTTCATCTCTCTCTTCAAATGCTGATGCGGAAAAGGTGTCTTCTACGTTATCAATTCGATCGGAAAAGTCTCTCACCTTCATAGTTTTTCTTACCTGTTCTACGATAGGCGGCATGCTGCTCATGGGCGGTCTGAGAACTTTGTAGCAGACCTCAGGCTCAATGAAGGAGTGAAGTGAGACAGTCGACAAGCCAGTTGAAGAGAACCTACATTGACGGGAGCCTGAGTGCCAGATCGGTTCCATTTTGCGCGATAAACCTCGGAGTAGCCGCCTCGTGTGACTAGAGTCTTGGTACCAAACTGATGACTAAGGTTCGGGACATCGTGAATTGTAGATAAGGCTTCCATCACAACTGGCAAAATGGCATCCATGGCGGAGTTGACTAGGGCCAGACGATGATCTGTGCGTGTGTAGATACACCAAAATGTGTGTACGATAAGGTGAAAGCAGGCTCCTTACAACACCCTATGCTACGACGGCTCTGAGGGCGTTTCGATAGGAAGCAGACTAAGGCGCTATTGAGATGTTCTCGGGGCCTTACACTACCAGGTGGGGGGTCAGAACATCCGAGGCAAACCTAAAAGGCAACTATGTGCGCGCACCGGAGCATGCAATAGCCGTCGCTCGCTTCGGCAGCCATGTCACCTGTATTCTGACCACCTAATTAGGTACCAGACGCCGTTACATATATATAGGCCCAGTAGGCCCAGAAATCGGATGAACGTTATGTTCCACAGTGAAATTCTTTCAATGATTTGAACATTCTAAAACGTTCATTGTACACCAGAAACGCGAGAAGAGGAGGAAATCGTGTCAGGCCATGGTGCTTCTCATTCGAAGTGACTCCTGCCGGTGTTGCTGTACTGGGATTTGGTGTATTGTAATGCCTCAATTTCATCTTGTGTGTGAGCGAAGGCGCGAAGGGTAGCGTGGCGACGGCCCCGACAGGATGTCGAAGCCTCTTGATTTGAAGCGAGCCGAAATACAAAATGGAAGCGATGGGGCAGGCGGAGGGTAATGATGAAAACAGCTAAGAGTAACAGCAGACAAGAGGGAAAAGTGAAGTTACAAACACAAAGCATACGCCGAAAAATGAAAAACCGCCGTAAACATCCAGGTTCCAACTCGCAAAGGCTAAACTGCCTTTATCCTATGCCAGACCGAATATTCGTAACCCAACTAAATTTCCTATAACCAAACCGATAAGAAAATTAGTTCAACAGCGTGCGCGGACGTGAGAGAGAGAAAAAAGCTGTGGATCGAAAGCGTGCAGCGGACGCAAGAGGTAGTGGCTGAGAAGCCGATGCGTACTGCCGACGCAGATGAGAAGGCACGGAGGCCGAAGCGCTTAGCGGGCGCGCATAAAAGAAAGACACGTGAATATGGGCTTGACCTAGCAAGGGGCACGGCGGATGCCCAGAAGAAAAACCGAGGCGGCATGCACACACAAGTCATATTTAATCTCAATTAAATCTAAATACATCGGGATAGTGGCACCGGAGTGACTTCGGAACCAGCCAAAAGCAGTTCACCTAAAAGAGTCTGTCGCCAACTCAATCAAGCGGTGCAGCTGGGCCGGTTTTCTAGCAGACATCATAACTAAAACACAACAAGCGCTTTGGAAACATCCCATCCAAGTCTTTCCAAGCCAGGCTTCACGGCGTCATCTACCATACCACCAGGGCCGCATACCAAGACCATCGCATCATCGGATGGAGGAGGCATATGAGTTTCTAGCATCCCATCATTGACCCTTCCCGTACCGAAAGTCCATTGGGGTGATGGTCGACTAAGCGTATAGTGTATCTTGAGTCTCCTTCTAGAGATATCCCGGGCTTTATCGCCGTGCAGTTCATACCATGTGTCAAGCTCTCCCCAACATAATATGTCTGACTCCGTTCTGTTGACGTCGAGGAGGTAAAGATGGGTCTCTGAGTCTTCGTCGTCGTGCAGGACGCTCCGAAGGACCTGGAGTATTGGGGTGATTCCACTTCCTCCACAAATGAGACCCAGATGTCGTATTCCTGAGCGAGGGACGCCTCTCCATCTCAGGTTTCCCTTGCCTTCCCAGACGAAAGAACCGAGAGGCCCTTTGAACTCTACAGTATCTCCAACGACAAGCTCGTGGAAACCGACTGTCATCTTCCCACCGAGCGGGAACGCCGCACACGGTAAGTATAACCTTTAGTATCATGCAAATCAGCCCTGGTCCTTCAAGCCATTCCGGGTGACTCACTTGATTAGTAAATCAATATGACCGTGCTCGTCTTGTTGTGAGACGGGAGTGTACGCTCGTTGGACAACCTCCCCAGTCGTCTTCCTTCGCAATCGAACAAACACGTGTTGACCGACAGGCAATCCCAATGGCTGTTCTGGAGATGGGAGCGCAAAACGGTAGATGAAGGAATCGTGCGAGACGCTGGTAATCTTGACGAGGTGGGCAGCCTTCCATTTTCGTCGATCCAAAAATACAGACGAGGGTCCACCAGAGTCGTCTCTCGATTGTTCGGCCCCGTCAGCTTGAAGTTTCCCGATATGGAACTATAACGGAAGCGAGTTAGTTCCCGAGCGCTACAACATTCATTTAATACAAACCTTCCTCAACTTGGTTCTCGCATCGTCGGAGTGAATGGCAACGAAATCTTCTGTGGCGTCTGCTTCGCCTGACGCCAACCAAATCGAGTCTGCACCTCCTGGATGCTCGTCAAGGAAACCCGTCCCATCGTAGACATTCCCTTCCACGATAAAGAGAGGCTTCTTTCCTTCGCCCCTGGTCAGCGAGAAGTACTCAGTCATTGAAATGACTCGATTGACTTCGGGGTTGGTCATGCTGGCGGGTGCGGGCTTTTTGGGAGGTTCGACGGGATTGTTTTTCTGTTTGGAAGCACTGAATTCCGGTGTTAAAGGACTCAAGCCCGTATTTTTCATTCGCTGCGACGTAGTGAGCTTTTTGTTTTTTTTCGGCAAAGAATGATTCATACTTGCCTCCATCCATCCTCCAGGAGTAACGCCGGCTAATGTCGGATGCTCAAAGCGTAAAATATCGGCACCGTCCTTGACCTCGTGGTGGACAGCAACGCGGAACCACCAGTTGCTAAAATCATGCCACCTCGGCTTAGGAAAAAAACCCTTTCAATGATGATAAGAAGAGCTCACTTCATCATTCCGGTGGCACTGCGGAACGACCGTGAGTTCTGGCCTCGGTGCGCGGGAATCATTCAAACTTACGTCCAGTACATGTCTTGTGGCTGAATTCCGAGACCTTGGTCCATAGCCCTGACCATTATCACATCACTCTTCGAGAGCTCATCGACGGATACGGTATACTTCCAGAAACACCAGCAGCTACCCAGAATGTTCCAAAAGAGGAAAGAGTTATGCGCAAAAATTGACTCACAAACTAGTGTCACGCTCAGTCAAGTCCAGCGTTCCGTAATACCTGCTCTCAAGTGCCACCATTCGATACAGATCCTCTGGATACACTCTAAAATCGTCGTTACGGTCAGTGGGCCATTCGGTACGAAATGGATCGGGAATCGTTACATGTCGCTGATCTTCCACGACTTGCCGTTGTCCAGCGAGATCTCCACTCGCGTGACTCTTCGTCCGCCTCCGGAGTAAGCGTACCCTCTGATGTCATTACGATGCTGTTGACTTGGAGAGGTCCAATATTTCGTCGTGGCTGGGCTGGGCTATAGCGCTGTTGACGTTGAGGTCGCTGATTAAATAATTCCTGTTGTACCACCAGTGCTTTTCGTCGCGGGCTTGTTGGGCGGTCACTTGCGTGGGCAGTATCCTATTGTCAAAGAAGTGAAGCTGTAGTAGGATATTGTAGGTGAGGCTCTATCTAATTCTTGCTATGACACTGAAGCAAACCTACATGATGCTGAGACTCTTTGTCGCTCACCACGATGCTCCTAAGCCATTTGACCGATCTCCCGCCGATCTGACCCGGAATGACCACCCTCAAAGGGAACCCATGATCCGGTGATAACGCTTTCCCGTTCATTCCCCACACAATCATCATCCCTTTCTCAATGTTT